TTTTCAGACAATCTGGTTGAGGCTCACATGCAGGTCTATTTAAACATTAGTTTTGTAAATGCATTTAATTTTCATGGAATAGAAGCTTCATGAGCATTGACTTGGTTTTAAAAGCTGTTTTGTGTAGGTTAATTACCGTTGTTGTTTCTTTTTCTGTATGTATCCTTTTGACACATGTTTGCTTTATATTAAGGATTTGAGTACACACTGATATCTGCTCAACAGCAACCCCCTTGAGAAACAAGCCTTGGTTGCTGTTGGGTGTAGGTTGCCACGAACTAAATTTTACAGAGCCGTGGGGGGGATGATCTCACATCCACCCATCTTTTTCACTCTCTCTCACACACACACAAGTGCTAACCCTGGGGCAGTGTTGTAATGTTGGTAAATGAAAACATGAGAGAGCGTAGGCTTTTCAAGTGAGCTGATGCTTAATCACAGGATAGTAATGCTATGCACGGTGACTGAGGACAAACCTCCCCAGGAGACTTAAAGGAAGGTGACTATTTGTGAGAGGGCGTGGTTGATTTGCTCCTTCTTTCCTATCCAGCATCTGTCCACTTTTTTGTGTTTGTTACTCTTTTGTAACACCTTAAGCCTTCAGCACATGTATGACCTTATTGTACTGCAAGTGCTGTAAAACTTACTAGAACAATGAACACGACATAGTGTACTGTGTTTTATTTTACACAGCTGGCATTGTGAGGAGATTATAAAACAAATAAACAAGAGAGGAGTGATGCACACACACTGAAATTATAGGCTACTCTGACTCATGTTGTTCCCACTGTTTCTGAATTGCCAACAAAAAATTTTGTCTAATAAAGCGAGACCCTGCTACACTTCTTTTACGGACGCTGCTCTGGCTTCCTGTTGAGAGAAGAATTATGTACAAGTTGGCCACTATGTCACAAATGCTTGAATGATAATGCGCCATCATATTTATCAAATCTGTTTGAGACTGCATTCCAACTTGCAGTTTATGGTCTTCAGCTAACAAAAATAAATTTTTTTCAACTTTCTATGAAACTTAAAACAATAGGTAAAAGGGCTTTTGAATATCAAGGCACCAAGATCTGGAATGCTTTGCCAATTAGTTTAAGAGAGATCAAATTCAATGATTAATTCATGTGTTACAGGATGCCCAGCAAGGTCATAAATTCGTAAAAAAAGCCGTAAATTCGACACCCTGGTTGTAAATAGTAGTAAATTTGCCTTGAAGATAGTAAACATTTGGTAAACGGTCGTAAATTAGCCTGCCTACTGAGTGATGAAGCCAGCAAGACTTTTCAGTGAACCCAAGCCGCGGTACATGACTGTTTTTGCCGGTCGCGATTGTGATATAAAATTCGTTTCCCTGGCCCGAGAGTATGTTTCACGCGAAAAGACGGCTGTGGCGGCAGGCGGAAGTGTATGTGACACTGAGGCTCGACCGGGAAAATCAAGATCTACTTTCGCTTTCGTTACCACCCAGAAATTTGCCGGCGATAGACTGATAATGCAACATTTGTGTATTTATAGGTAGTTAATCATGCAACATTTGTGTATTTATAGGTAGTTAATCTACCGGAACATGTATTAGCATAGCTGCCATTTTCCCGCAACTTTCCTCCGCTAGACCGTTCTTAGTCACAAATTTCATTTTTTTTCCCCACGCGGAAAACACCGAACCGGGAGAGAGACGAAAACGCGGTCTTTTAGGCCCAGTGCTAGTTTCACATTGTTTATTGTTGTGGAGTAACATAGTGTCGATCGGGACGTTAGCGCGCCGAGTTGTCATTGAAATTGGCGGAAATTCGGGAAAAATTGATTCAGAATGTAAAAATAAAAGGAGCTGGAATGAGAAAGAAGCAGCCGGTGTGCGACTTGAAAAGTTCATTAGAAAATTGAACTAGATCTAGCCGTTTTTTGCGAAAGAAATCGCGGCCCGCGGCACTCCTGTACAATTGCGGTCCCGTTTGTTTACATGACGGCTATTGTGGCTGCTGCGGAAGTGAATCTAGATCTAGAAAATCTATCTCTAGATATAATCTAGATCTACACATATTTAGATATATCTAGATCTAGATTAGATAGCCTAGGCTATAATTTTAATTCAGTTTATCTCTAAATAAGAAACACTACAGGGGCACTAAGTGCAAACGGGACCGCAGTTGTACAGGAGTGCCTGCATCCTTGATCCGATACTGCTCTACGTCTATGTATGTACACGTTTAAAGTGAAAGAAATCCTTTTATGAGACACCAGCTGGCAAAAAACACTAGATTTTTAGTCACTAAGTCCAAACTGTGTCAAATTGACTCGAATGCTTGTGAGTCAACTTACTACCTTTATGGTTTGTTTTTTTTTTGGTTTTTTTTCCAAATACATTTTAATTCAGTTGCCTATGGTTAACAATATGACAGTTTTCCCTTCCAAAACTGTAGGCTAGATTTTCCAGTATATATTGCCTCTGGATCTCACTGGTTTCGGAGAGCGCGCGTACGCCTTCGCGTGAATTTCCTCCTTTAAAAAAATTTCTGAGTGGCAGCTATGATTAGGCGAAGTGATGTGCAATGATAGTCGCAATAGAGAGATGAGATTGTTTTGGTCTCTCTTTACTCATCTGCACCACACGAATTTAATTGATGTTTTTCCCTGGACTCTGCCTTTACTGAAGTCTCGAATCTAGATCTAGTTGTAATCTAGTTACAGGTTGCAGATTTAATAAATTGCCGACAGAGAGAGAGAGAGAAGGGGAAGGAGTAGATCTTGCGAGAACTTCCGGGCAAAACAAAATGGCGACCCGCGTAGTTCAGCTCGATTCGAAAAGTGAAAGAGCCATAGCATCTTTGTAGACGATCAAATTAGCTTACTTTTGTGCTATAACGTCATTTTTTTCTTTGCTTTTGTCAATTTGATCATCCACACCGATAGAAAGTATTTCGAAATTAGGAAAAACAGGTCTTGTTTCACACTGGGTGAGAATCAGAGCTGTTAAAGTACTTTTTAAAAAAGTATTTCAGTACAATCTAAAAAATGTACTTAAGTACAGTAAAAGTACTTTCCTATAAAATGTACTCGAGTACAAGTACTTTTTAAAAAAGTACTTATGAGTACATTTTGAGTACTTTCTGCTAATATGCTAAAACACTTCAGCGCTTATGCAAAACATCATATTTTATAACTTATCCAGTATATTTGACAAATTAGGCTATTTATTACTAAAAATGTAAACAGTATACAAAGCATTTGAATATACAATGTACGCACTGAACGGTGGAAATGGTCGGTGAAATTGAACAAAAAACAACCCAAACGAACAGACGCAACTAGTGGGTAAGTGATATTATGAATAGAAAATGTTTGAGCAAGACAATGAGATCAAATGTAAGTCAGTCCAAGAGGTCGGAAAGTTCTACAGAAAGAGTATCCAAATTGAAAAATGTAGATAGAAAGTTGCTCTTAAGAAAACATAAAATTGATGAAAATGACCCGCATAGAAATGGAAAAGTGCATTGAATTCTTCATTAACAAATCCTCAAGGAATCAATGTAGCCTTAAGCAAAAACCACCCAAAAGAGTTTAAAAGAAATTTAGGCAGCCTAAAAATTGTTAGATACGCATTGAGAACACAGTTTCAGTTTCAATTGATTATAGTGGTCTGACAGATTTTGCTCACACTGTGTAGTCCACGGCGCCAACGGCAAACCAAAAGACAATAGTTTCCTAGAGTCTAATAAGTGTAGTGTAACCAAAGATTCTCTACTGCAGTAGTCTCCGCCTAAGATCCCAGTGCTCGGAAGCAAGGAAAATATGGGATCTTAGCTAGGCTTTCTCAACTGAGAAAGCCTAGGATCTTAGCCAACGAAGCCAAGGAAGAATCTACAGTGACACATGAACTGACGTGACCCCTGGGTGGATTTATGACATATGGCAAGCAAAGAGTGGTCGACCTTGATGACCAATCACAGTGGCATGAGGCATGCCATAAATAACATTATATATACACACTCATTAGCCTATCGTGAGTCTTGAGATCTTTATCTATGTTTATCCAGTTGCCCCTCTCCTTTAAATTCGGGAAAAACTGCTTTCAATGGTCAGGGAAGAGTTCACAGTTTGATGTGATCCCGCCTGGAGCGAACTTGTAGGCCCTACCCACCCAGGGAGTGATGTAAGTTTAGGTGGTGAGGTCACATGCGAGTGCGATGTTTGGGGAAAAGAAACGCATCGGTCAGTTCACACCTTGGTGTGATCCCGTCTGGAGCAAACACTGTACCGTTTCAAGGAGTTTTACAACGCTTGTGATCACATTCACGATAGTGGCTGATCTTTGAGGCGACGGGCTGTTCTTTGATCTCAACTTTTAACTCTTGGTGGTTGATCGGGTTTTTGTTCCGTAAATTATGATCAGAAATGCCCGCACTTACCCTTTCATTAAGCTACCAAAGTACTCAAAATGTACTTAAAAAGTACTCAAAAGTACTTTTATAAAAAGTATCGGAGTACAGTAAAAAAGTACTGGTT